GGATTGACATTGGTCCATCTCCATTAGAGCAAAAAGGAATTTATATTTGTTGAGGTCTTTGCAGACCCCTTGTTTACTAAGGCCTTGTCTACTAGGTAAGGAACTCGGGTGGCATAGTGCCTAAGACATTTGACTGCTAATCAGAAGGTTGGCAGTTCAAAACCACCAGCTGCTCTGCGGAAAACAGAGCAATCTACTGCCATAAAGATTTTCCACCTCAGAAACCCAAAGGCAATCACTATGAGTAGGAATTGACTCAATGTCAGTGAGTTTGTCTACTAGGTGCAATGTGCAAGAGATCTCTCTCCTCCCTGTTGGTTTTACTTGTCTGTATTCCAACTGGACATCATTTATGTAAGGGGTAGGACCTTTTATTTCTGTTCCCCCGGCATCTGGTACAGTTCTTAGCAAATAGGGAGTTCTTGATAAATGTTGGTTGGTAGAATGACTGATTATCAACATATGATGAAATAGATGAGAAAATGGATTCAGTAAGGGTCAAATAATTAAGATACAGCCTAGCTCTTGCTGATTAAAATCCATGGTATTTTTACCTTGCTGCATCAGCACTTTTAGGAAAATAATTCCAAAGGTCTATGCTACCATGAAGGAATTTGAAGTGCCATAATGCATATAAAAAACATGATGATGATCATGATGTTAATGATGATGCTGATGAACATCAACTGTTATAAAGGTATCTTTTTTTAAAAAAACACACTTTATGTAGTATGGTTGAAAATATACAAGGCAAGGTAGTTTCCCATTCAACAATTTATACACATTTTGTTTTGTGATATTAGCTGCTATACCCTCAATTTAATAGCATTTGTTCCACTTTTTCCTGGGTCCCCTATTTCCGTTTGCCCATCTTTCCTGCAACTTCATGCCTCCTGACCTTTGGTTTTGGGCAAGTGCTACCCTTTTGGTCTTGTATGGTTGATTTTTTCTGGGAAGCATGTTACTTATGTGTATTACTGTGCACTTATAGGCCTGTCTATTGTTTGACTGAGAGATGACCTCTGGGAGTGGCCTCTGTCCCAGATTTGAAGGGTGTCTAAGGGCTTGGGAGTTCTATGAGTCTCTATCAGTAAGTTTGGTCTTTTCTATGAATAAGAATTTTTTTTGCAATTCATTTTTTTTTTTTTTTGCACTATGTTCAGGACCTTCTTTTGTGATCCTGATCAGAGTAGTTAGTAGTGGTAGCAGGGCACCATCTAGTTCTTCTGGTCTCAAGCTAGTGGAGGCTGTGGTTTATGCGGTCCATTAGTCCTTTGGACTAATTGTTTCCTGAAGTTTTTTATTTTCTTCATTTTTCTTTGCTCTGGATGGGAAGAGACCAGTAATTGTATCTTAGATTTTCATGAGCAAGGTTTTAAGTTCCCCGTTATTACTCACCAAGAGAGGATGTAGAATATTGTCTTTATGGACTATGTTACACCAGTTGACTTAGATGTCCCCTAAGACTACAGTCCTAAGCCTGCAAACCCAGTGACTTAATCCCTCAAGGTATTTGCTTATGGCTAAGAAGTTTTCATAACTTTGCCCCTGTATACTCTATCATATACTTGGATATATTTGCAGCACATACATGTATGTAGAAATATCCTCTGTTAAACCTATATATGCTCATGGGTGTACTCCTATATACCATCTCACACCTGTTCATCTTATATATCTACCTGTGTGTGACTTATATATTATTGTTAGTTATTAGTGTTATTGCAGGATCGTGTATGTAATAGTATTTGCTATTGTTGCTTTCTGTTCTTTCATACCTCTCACTGTCTTCCTTTGCCTTGGTGACATTGTACTGACCTCTCCCTTATTAACTGCCTTTCCCTTCATCCAAGTTGATAGATGTCTATTATTTAGTTGGTTGTGGTGGTTATATTTGTGTGTCATCTTGGCTGGGCCTTGTTGAGTGGCTGGGCAGCTGGTGGGAGTTATTCCCCATGATGAGACTGGCAATCAACTCCATGGTGGGATCTACCACAAGCAGATGAGTGGCTGCTTTGGTATATAGTCTGCTTCCCACATATAAGAAGCAGCTTTGGGAATGGCCTCTAGTTCCTGGCATGCTTGGACCCTGCATGTAGCCATGTCATTATTCAGCAGCCTACCATGTTCTGCTGACCTTGGGACTTACAATGGACTTGAGTTAATGGTAATGGCCTGCTGTGTGGTTTGATAACATTGGGACTGTGCCTTTTTACTTGTCAACCTTGGGCTTGGAAGCCTCAGCAGCCAGCAGCTGTCTGAGTGAAGAAAAGCCTCTAGCTTCAGTGGGCCAGGAGCTGGAGGCAGAGCTGAAGCCCAAGGCTGAGGGGCTTTCACCCAGCCCCTAGAGCCTGGCACTTTGAACTTGGACTTCAAGCCTCCCAATTGTAAGAATAAACTCCTGTATGTTAAGGCCATCCCATTTGTGGTATATTCCTGTCAGAGCAGCACCAGGGAACCAGAACATTGGTGCTTATCCCTCCTTCTCCCTTCCATCCCTGGAAATCATCAAAGAATGTTTCTTTCTGCATATAAACCTTTTCTTGACTTTTTATAATAGTGATTGCATACAATATTTTTCTGACTGATTTTTTTATGTTGATTTTATATGCTGCAACTTTGCTGAATCCTTCTATTAGTCCCAGTAGCTTTCTTGTAGAATCTCTGGGATTTCCTAGGTATAGAATCATATCACCTGCAAATAGGGATATTTTCACTTCTCCTTACCGATTTAAATGCCTTTCATTTTGTCCTATTGGTCTGGGTAAGACTTCCATTACAGTACAATAATGAATAAGATTGGTGATAAAGGGCATCCTTGTCTTGTTCTTTTCTCAAGGGGAATTCTTTCAGTCTCTTTCCATTGAGAATAATGTTGGCTACGGTTTTATGTATATGCCCTTATTTATGATGAGGAATTTCCCTTGTATTCTTATTTTACTGAGAACTTTTGTCAGGAAAGGGTGTTAGATTTTATCCAATACTTTTTCTACATAGATTGATATGATTGTGTGGTTCTTTTCCTTTGTTTTATTTATGTGCTGGATTACACTGATTGATTTTCTAATGTTGAATCATCCTTATATACCTAGTATAAATCCCACTTGGTCATGGTGTATTATTTTTTGATATGGTGTTGGATTCTATCAGCTAGGATTTTGAAGATACCTTCTTAGAGATTTGGCTTTGAAACATGGAACTATCAAGGAAAAGGCTAACAGAGATATGGAAAAAGAATACAGAGACATGTTCCAGTGCCTCTAATTTGTCTGTACAGTTAATCTATCCATAAGTAAGAATCTTAGTGCTTGCTCCAGTAGCAGGCAAAGTGTATATTCATTTTGCATTAAGTAACTTGACTTCACATGCCCAGAGAGATGATACACTGTATGACAGTGGTTCTCAACTGGGATTGGTTTTGTCCCCCACCCCTCCACCAAAGGGACATTGAGCAATGTCTGGAGACATTTTTGCTCATCACACTTGTGTGCTATTGGAATCTAGGGGGGTCAAGGCCAAAGATGCTGCTAAACATCCTACAATGCACAGGACACCCCTCCCCTAACAAATAATTATCCGGTACAAAATATCAGTGTCCCTGCTGAGGCCTTGCTATAGAGATTAAGAATAGTTCTTAAACTTTGGTGTTGTTTAAATTCCTGGCTCCATCACTTTTTAGTTGAGTGATCTTGGGTTTATGATCACTCAATACCTTATTCCTTAATTTCTCCATTGATAAGATAAATGTAATAATGTTCTTATATACCATTGATATTATACATCAAAGGACGGAATGATCTAATGCAAGGTAAGTGCGTAGAACAGTGATTGGCAAATAGAAGTCTTTGATAAATCATACTTTTTATTAATGAAATATGTGGATTAAATAATAAATATAACACATTGGTGAACAGACATCTGTCCTAGTGCTCCCATCATTCCTGTCTTCTGTTTCTAGAAAGGGCAACAGGTGAAAGAAAGTCAGTTACATTTTATTACTGTTTGTTGTTAGTTGCCAAGGAGTCGAGTAGTTTCCAACTCATGGTGACCATATACGTGCAGAGGAGGACAGCTCCATAGTGAAAGGTTGTGACCATTCAGAAACAGATTGCCAGGCTGTTATGGTTACCTAGTGCCACTCTGACAAGAATATATACCACAAATGGGATGGCCTTAGCAAACAAGAGTTTATTCTTACAATTTGGAGGCTTGAAGTCCAAGTTCAAAGTGCCAGGCTCTAGGGGCTGGGTGAAAGCCCCTCAACCTTGGGGTCCAGCTCTGCCTCCTGCTCCTGGCCCACTGGAGCTAGAGGCATTTCTTCACTTAGACAGCTGCTGGCTGCTGAGGCTGAGAAGCCCCAAGGTTGACAAGTAAAAAGGCACAGTCCCTATGTTATCAATCCACACGGCAGGCCATTAACTTAAGTTCATTGTAAGTCCCAAGGATGGCAGAGCATAGCTGGCTGCTGAGCAACAATATGGCTACATGCAGGGTCCAAGTGTGCCATAGGCTAGAGACCATACCCAAAGGTTTCTCCTTATATATGGGAAGCAGACCACATACCCAAAGACAGCTACTCAGCTGCTTGTGGTAGAGCCCACCATGGAGTTGATTGCCAGTCTCCTCATGGGGATTAACTCCCACCAGCTGCCCAGCCACTCAACCAGGCCCAGCCAAGTTGACACACAAACTGAACTACTACACAGGCCTAACTTCTGAGGTGCCTCTGGGTGGATTTGAACCACCAACTTTTTGTATGGTAGTCCAGTACTTAACCATTTGTGCCACCCAAGGACTCCTTTAGAGTTGGGTTGAATATGGACATTGGTATACTTTTCTGGGACAGGTTGTTTTGTTGTGGAAATCCCAGAATACCCTAATGTGTTCACTAAGTGGTTAGTTAGCCTGCCAAGTAGCATGTTAGTTGTACTGAGTTTTTTTTTTTTTCAGGTGGATTCATCTTCTTTCTCTGCTGCAGGTCAGGATCCTAATGTGTGAAAATGAAGTCCCAGGCAACCATCATTTGCTGTTTAGCATTATTTCTGGCCACAGAATGTTTCCACTATAGATCAAAAATTCACATAAAAGTAAGTTTGATCCATTCTTATATGGTCTCAGAAGAAACCCTACAGCTTCCTTACAAGGCTAGATTTCTGAAAAATAACATGCCACTTTAAATACATTTTCAAATAATTAAATTTTATTCTTGCTTCTAGTAGCTTTCTAAAGAAAGGAACAAACAAAGAATGATTAAGGGGTGACAGGAACTTTCTCAAGGTACAACAGTAGCATAATCACTTTGCAAGCTACAGAGAATGTAGGCAGGCAGCTGGTGAGAGGAGGAAGTACTAGCCTGGGAGTCAAGCAACTTAGATTTAAATTTGAACTTGGGTTCTTGCTGATTGCACAAGTTGCTTTACTCCTGTAAGTCTTATTTCCATAGAACACAAAGGCATGGAGGGGATTCTTTTGATAACCTTTACAGTCATTTCCAGTTATAAAAGAGTTTATGATTCTAGTATTTTATCCTAATGGTTATGCCTAGTATCTGTTCATTTCTTCCTCACTAAGGACATTATTAGGAGCTCTGGTAGCATAGTGCCTAAGGCACTTGACTGCTAACCAGAAGGCTGGCGGTTCAAACCCACCAGCCACTCCTCGGAAGGAAGGTTGGGCAATCTGCTTCCGTAGTGATACTGCCTCGGAAACCCAAGGAGGGGTCGCTATGAGTCGGGGCTGACTCAACGGCATACAACAACAACAACAACAAGGACATTATTAGACTATTTTTGTGGCGTAGTGCCTAAGGCACTTGACTACTAACTAGAAGGCTGACAGCTCAAACCCAATAGCCACTTTTTGGAAGGAAGACTGGTCAATCTAGCTCCATAGAGATACTGCCTCAGAAACCCAAGGAGGGTTCACTATGTGTTGGAATCAACTTGATGGCAGTGAGTGAAAGCATCATTAAATAAAGGCAGAAAACAGCTTAGTGGTCATCTTCTCTGTTGTCCTTGGATACTTAAACTTCCTAGATGATGTATTCAATCCACCAACCTGATAATCAGAGCCCAAGTGACACCCATCACAGTTCTAGCTCTCAGTAGGGAGAGGATAGTTTATTTCCTATCTGTGCTCACATCCATGTCTCCTTCAGCAAGTTCCTGCATTATCAACGCGTGGACCTACTGCAGGTTTCTTCCCTGTCTTGAGCACATTTTCTCTACTTATCCACTTGGAACCTCTAAATTGTGAGGAGAGAAGAGTCCCACAGTAAAGAGAACCTTTTGGAATTTATGTTTTTCAGGATGGACATGAATATCAAAGACCTGAAAGAAAATTTGGAAGGACACAAGGTATGTAGCCATAGAACCATCTCCATCCACTCTGGAATCTGGGCAGACTAATGGAAGGATAATGACATTACAAGCATGTTCCAAGGATGTGGACCAGGCTTTCAAATAGAATAGCTATCTCTAATAAATTCACCATGTTTACCAGAATTGACAGATTGTCTTATAATTTTACCATCACCTATAAAACAAATTGGCAAACATTCATATGTGCTCTGCAATTGCAGACAAGTGTCCATTTTCAAGCCCAAATAGGACATCTATTTATCCTGAAGAGGTAACAAGATGTAGAAAGGGAAGGAGGACAAGGTTCAATCTTTCCTTTATTCAAAGATATTTTGGGAGTTTTCACGTGTACTCTGGTGCTGAGAGTCTGTTGAAGCAATGTAAGACGGGTATCATGGTGGTGAGACTGGTCACTCTTAGAAAGTGAGAGGTAGATATGGAGATCATCCTTAGCAGTACCCACTGCCGGGGAGTCGGACCCGACTCATAGTGACTTCTCCTTGGGTTTCCGAGGCAGTATCACTACAGAAGTAGATTTGTCCAACATTCCTTCCAAGGAGTGGCCAGTGGGTTTGAACTTCCAGGCTTCTCGTTAGCAGTCAGATGCCTTAGGCACTATGCTACCAGAATTCCTTAGTAGTAAGGTAATAAAATTACATGGTTTTCACCCAAAAGTAGGGATAACTGAATTATGCAGAATTATGGCTAAGTATGTACCTCTCTATATTAATGTGGAGTTCAGAATGGGGAGAGGAGAGAAAAGTAACTAGCATTTATTAAACATTTATAGTGACATTAAGTACAAAACACTGTCTAACTTAATATTTATAACAATGGCGTGGAATCCCTCGAATTATATGGATGAAGAAATTGACAACCACTCAAGTTAAATCACTTTCAAAAATTGATACATTTCATAGATGTCAAAGAAAGATGAAAACCCAGTTTCTTTTCTCAGCTAATGGGGTCATCCACAGACTTGTCCAAGCCAGAAATATGGGACACTCCTTGACTTCCAGCCAATTGATCACCTCATCATATTGAATTCAAAACTTTAATAGTTGTCAGCATTACATATTTCTTTCCATTCTACTGCCATTGTCCTAAGGCAATTCTTCCTGGGAATACCTCAATAGTGTCATTCTTGAACTCCCTGACTTAAATCTATCTTCTATGGCTGATGGGCCAAACTTCATAAATAAAATTTTATTGGAACACAGCCACCCTCATTTTTTTACATATAAAAATCAAGCTTTATAAATAAATTTTTAGAAATAAACTTTTTAGTTTTCATAAAAATTTTATGGGAACATGGCTACCTCCACTCATTTACATATTGCCTTTGGCTGCTTTCACACTACAAGAGGTTAGTTGAGTAACTGTGACAAAGACTAGAACCTGAAAAGCTGAAAATATTTACTGTCTGCTGGGGTTGCCATATTTAACAAATGAAAATATGAGATGTCCAGTTAAATTTAAATTTCAGATAAACACTATAATAAAGATACTTGTATCCTTCACACATATACTCACAAATTGTTTGTCTGAACATTTATTTGAAATTAAACTTCAAATTTAACTGGGCTTCCTGTATTTTACCTTGTATTTCTATTTATTTGGTCCTCCACAGAAAACTTTATCATCACATCTCTAAGCTACTGTCAATTATCTTCCCAAAACATTAATCCAATCATGCTTTCAGGTAGCCTCCACATTAGCACAGTGTTCTAAGCCCTTCAGACCTGACCCCTGCTTTCCTCCCCACCTTTATCTCTTGTCACTCTCCCCATCATGTGCTTGGAACCAGCCTTTTTGAGTAACTTGTGATCACCCATTTCCATGCCCTCTTCACTCTGCCGGGACACCAGCTTCACAATTTGCTGTCAGGTCTATTTGTTGGTGAGGATGCTATTCAATGTCACCTCCTCTGCAAAGCAACTTAAGACTCCCCACAATGAATGAGATGGCCCTGCCAGAGAGTAAACATTATAAGTAGGTCTCTCTTTCTTTTCAGAGAAATGCCAGGGACCCTGCACGACTTCCTACTGCACTCAGTCCTGTGCCAAACACTTTCGTGGAGAAATAGGATTTGTGTGTAATCAAAATAAGTGGCAAAAATCAACTGAAACATGTACAAGCCTTTCTGTGGAAACACTCTTTCAGGTGATCATTTGCATATTAATGACACAGGAGCCAATACTCATGGAAGTGGTGGAGGTATTTTTGATGTGCTCCATTCAGCATGGTTTTAAGTCTCAGACTTGGACTTAGGAAGAACTACAGAGTGGGTTAATTTATCTCTTGAATTACTTTCCTTACCTAACCTCTCAGGTACTTTTCCCTCTTCCAATTCTCTTTATTCTGTCTTTTAAGCATATTCTCTATTTCTCTCTCCCAAACTCTTTTTTTCACAAAAAGATCTGAAACTTATTTACACTGTAGTGTAAATGATTACTTAAGGTTAAATTCTAAAGGTGTTAATTAATTCTTTTGTGCTAATCAATCAACCAATCAATTCAACCAATTAATCAATTGATGACTACTCAAATTCATTTTTTTTTTAAAATAATTTGATCAAGGGAAAAGAGAGATTGTGACTCAGAGGGAACAGAAATCCAATGAATACAGTAAAACTGTTAAAATCCAAGGAAGGGTCACTATAAGTTGAAATTGACTCGATGGCAGTGAGTTTGGTTTGGTTTGAGAACCCAAAATTTGGCAGTTCAACAGTGATCCCATGGAAGAAAGACCTGGCAATCTGCTTCAGTAAAGACTATAGCCAAGAAAACTTTATGAAGCTCATTTCTACTCTGTAATACATGGGGTCACTATGAGTTGTAATTCACTTGATGGCAAGGTGTTTGTTTTTAATCTTATAGAAGAAGATTACCAGGCTGACCTTCTATTATTCTGGTAGGTAAGTTCGAATCACCATCTTTTTGGTTAGTAGCCCTGGTAGCAGAATGGTTAAGTGCTTGACTGCTAACCCAAAGGCTGGAAGTTCAAACCTACCCAGTAACTCCAAAGAATAGGCCTGGAGATCTGCTTCCATAAAGATTACAGCCAAAGAAAGCAAAACAGCCCCAAACTCTACGGAGCAGTTTTACTTCTACTCTGTCAGATGGGATTGCTATGAGTTGACAATAAACTCCTTGGCACTTAGCAGTGCAAAACATTTTTGCTATTTAGTGCTTAATTATTTTTAAATGAACCTTTTTTTTTTTTTTTAACAGACTGCAAATGGTGCATCACGTGTTTCAGTAGCAGCAGCATCTGTACCTATGCCCAATCTTAGCTTTCTAGCTCCAGAGCCTATCAACAATGTAGCTCAAGGAATTCGAAAGAACTGCCCACTTGATTATGCCTGCATAATTGATGCTGTGAAATCTTCAGAAGCTACGTCTGGAAATATTGCATTTATAGTGGAGTTATTAAAAAATATTTCTATAAATTTGTCTGATAATGTTAACCGAGAGAAAATGAAGGTATTCTCTGCTAATTTCATTAAAAACTCACAATGTTTCCTCTCAAAACCTTGCATTTTAAGTTTCAAATGTACTTTTCAGGGAACCAGGTAAAACAGCAACAACCACAACAACCACAACAGCCGCAAGCATTGTATTTCCATTTTGCATGTGGATTTACTTAAGATATGGAAATTTACAAGGACTCAGGACTCTTTTTATGCATTTTTTTGCATAATCAAAAAAGTCACGTATTCATGGCTAATGCTTCCAAAATTATGCTCTATTGAACATAATTGTACTGAGAAATATTAATGAAGGTTCTGTTCCTTAAAAGGGGATCCATAGCAAGCAGATGTTGGAAATTTTGGCTTAAACAAAGTCAAGCAAGACTTTTTTGAGTGTTTAATGCATTGATGAACTTTGGGACTCTTTATAAGGGGGTGATACAGGGATCTGGTAGATAACTTGGGTAATGCAAATGGTTAAGCCTTCAGCTACTAACTGAAAGGCTGCCAGTTCAAATCTACCCAGAGATGCTTCAGAAGAAAGGCTTGGCAATCTACTTCTGAAGGTCAGAGTCATTTGAAAAGCCTCTGGAGGGCAGTTCTACTCTGAAACACATGGTGGCACCATGAGTTCAGATCTACTCTATGGCAACTAGTTTGTTGTTTCTTGGGATATGGTAAGTAGTAATTCTCAAACTTAGTGAACCATAGAACTCATTTCTACTTCCCGCCATTAAACATCCATTAATGTCTCATAGGAAACTCGAGTTCTACAGATTGCAGTTTGGAAATGCTATTCTGGGCCTAATAATAAGGCAGATAAAGTATATGTGTGATACTTCCTTTTTAGTATTTTTTTTTCTTTCTGTCCCTCTATGCAGGCTTACTGAAAAGGGATTCTAATGCATATGGAATTGGAAGGGAAATATGTCAAACAAGATCAGATCACTTGGTCTTTAGAAATTTCAGAGAACTTGACTTTGTGTGATATATGTAAATCCTTAGTATAAGAGCCACTTTTCTCCATTACAGAGTTATAGTGAAGTGGCCAACCACATCCTCGACACAGCAGCCATTTCAAATTGGGCTTTCATTCCCGACAAAAATGCCAGCTCGGATTTGTTGCAATCAGTGAATTTGTTTGCCAGGCAACTCCACCTCTACAATGAATCTGAGAACATCGTGGATGAGCTCTTCATTCAGGCAAAAGGTTTCCGTATCAACCACAATACCTCAGAGAAACATTTTATTTTCTTCATGAATTTGAAAAATACCACAGAAGGTATCTCAGGAATGATAGAAATTCCCAGGCAGGAACTATGGAAGCTGCAGGACACATCCAAAGCCATTAGTATAGCTTTTCCCACTTTGGGGGCCATTCTGAAAGAAACCCACTTGCAAAATGTGAGTCTTCCCAGGCCAGTGAATGGTCTGGTACTATCAGTGGTTTTACCAGAAAACTTGAAGCAAATCATACTCACTTTTGAGAAAATCAACAAATCTCGGAATGCTAGGGCCCAGTGTGTTGGCTGGCACTTCAGAAAAAGAAGGTGGGATGAAAATGCATGTGTAATGATACGGGATATCAAGAATGAAGTGAGATGCCACTGTAACTCTAGCAATGCAGTGATGTCCTTTTCCATTCTAATGTCTCCTAAATCAATAACTGACAAAGTCCTGGAATACATCACCTGCATTGGGCTCAGTATTTCCATCCTCAGCTTGGTTCTTTGCCTGATCATTGAAGCCATGGTGTGGTCCCGGGTAGTTGTGACGGAGATTTCATACATGCGCCACGTATGCATTGTGAACATAGCTGTGTCGCTCCTGACTGCTAACGTGTGTTTCATCATAGCCTCTAACTTTAACAGCAAGGCCCAGGACTATAACTTGTGTGTTGCAGTGACATTTTTTAGCCACTTTTTCTACCTCTCTCTGTTTTTCTGGATGCTCTTCAAAGCGCTGCTCATTATCTATGGAATATTGGTCGTTTTCCGTAGGATGATGAAATCTCACATGATGGCCATTGGCTTTGCCATTGGCTATGGGTGCCCACTGGTTATTGCTGTCACCACAGTTGCCATCACAGAGCCAGGAAAAGGCTATGTAAGACTGGAGGCATGTTGGCTTAACTGGGACAATACCAAAGCCCTTTTAGCATTTGTCATCCCTGCCTTGGTCATTGTGGCCATTAATCTCCTTGTGGTTTTGATTGTTGCTGTCACCACTCAGAGACCCTCTATTGGCAGTTCCAAATCTCAAGATGTGGCCATAATTATGAGGATTAGCAAAAATGTTGCCATCCTTACCCCATTGCTGGGACTGACCTGGGGTTTTGGAATAATCACTCTCATTGAAGATATTCCCTTGATGTTCCATATAATCTTTGCTGTACTCAATGCTTTCCAGGTAAGTTCCAAAAGGGGAAATTTTCTATTATTTTGTCTATGCAACAAAAAATGGTTATATTTTAAAATTACAGATTCATAAACTATCCATTTATCTCCATATTTTACAGGTATTTGGCTATGTGTCTCTCACCTTATTGGTTTTCAAGTTAGATTTAGCTGATCTGGTTGGCTGGGTGGGGATCTCTTTCCTTCTTTCCTCTTACTGAATAAGCATCTCTCCTAAAACTTCAGAAGATAATCTTCACTGTAGAGGAGCATTCTTTGGCCAAAGATACATGAGGCTACATTCATATATCATGACCTGAAACCAAGTTTAATTTCTATTTGTTCTCAAGAGGTTTGGGAATTCAATGAAAAAACACGCATCTTACAATGTGAAGAGGTGGTCCTGGTTATTCATTTTGGTGTTATCCAGTCATGAGTTCTTATACCTTTTCCCTGCTTTTCCTAATGAAATTCATAGAAATGGATCTTGCCATAGGTTACATATTCTTGGGAAAGTCACTTTTCTTTGAGCCTCAGTCTTCTCATCTATAAAATAAAAATATGAATCTAGAATAATCTTTATTGTCTTTTTTAGCTCTAAAATACTTGGTTTGGCAAGATTATCCCTCTGAAAGTTGTTTTACTCTCTCTTGAATACTAAGCTTGCACTTTTGGGAAGCTGTTACCAGCCAGACTCCTTTCCATACCTACTCATAATAGAAAATTTTGCAGGTCCGTTTAATCAGAGTGTTTTGGTCCTCTAGTGCTGCTCTAACAGAAATACCACAAATAGGTGGTTTTAATAAATGGGTTTATTCTCTTATAGTTTAGGAGGCTAGAATTCTGAGTTCAATGTACCAACTCTAGGGGCTGGGTGAAAGCCCCTCAAATTTGGGCTTCAGCTCTGCCTCTTGCTCTTGGTTCACTGAAACTGTAGGCTTCTCTTAACTCAGGCAGCTGCTGGCTGCTGAGGCTGACAAACTCAAGGTCGATAAATAAAATGGCACAGTTCCAAGATTATCAAACAACATGGCAGGCCACTAGTTCAAGTCCAGAAAAAGTCCCAAGCTCAGCAGGAATCATGGCAGGCTGCTGACGGAGGACCAAGCTACCTGTAGGGTCCAAGCATCCCAAAAAGCTCCAGAGATTTTTCTCAACTCTTCTCCTTATGTACTGGAAACACACCACATCCCTAAGGCAGCTACGCAGCTGTTCAGTGCAGATTATACCATGGAGCTGATTATTCTCATTATGGGGAATGACTACATCCAGCTGCCCAGCTACTCAAAACCAGGTCCAGCCAAGTTGAAACATAACCTTAACATGTTGTTGTTGTTGTTATGTGCCGTTGAGTTGGAAACTGCAGCTCACTGCTATTGTAAAGAGAATTTTATTGAAACAAAGCCATGCTCATTCCTTTACCTATTTTCTATCGCTGCTTTGAGCTACAACAGCAAAGCTGAGTGATCACAACAGAGACTCTATAGTCTGCAAAGCCGAAAATATTTACTCTCTGCTTCTTTGCAGAAAAAAAAAAAAATCTGACTCCTGCTATATATAACATAAATACAACTGTTTAATAAAGCAGCAAATTATTCCTATTAAAGTGTCATGATGACTTTATGTTACTATTACTCTATTCAATTGTGAAACAAAATATGAAGCAAACTTTAAAGAAATGCCAAGTCAGATCAGCTATCTACCTTATTTGTAATTCTTTAATCATGTTGGAGAATATTTACTTCACTGCTTCCCTTTCATTGCTTTAAAGAGAAATCTTTAACTGAAGATTTTTTTTTTTTTTTTAATCAAAAGCTCTTGGTCCCACAGAAATATCCCCAACTCTTTTTTTTTTCCCTTCTCTCTCTTTTTTTTTTTTCTTTCTCCTCAATTCTTGAAGTTACTCTGGTGACTGACTCATTATCTCATCCTTTTTCTTACTTCATAATTTAATTAAACTCTGGAAAGTTATTGTCCTTTTCTGTATCTTTCACAAAGCATTTATTTTTGTCTTTTTCTGATGAGAAGGAAAATGCTCAAAGATTTTGAGTTACATATGCTCAAATTTTCTCAAAAAGCCTTCCCTGTAGCTCTCATTTAAAATTTTTAGTCATTTATCATTTTTGTTTGTTCCCGCCATGAAACTATCTTTAGCAACCCTTTATCTTTAGGCTTCTCTCTACTTTCAGTGTAGGAGTCATATTTTTCTTGGACCTCAAATCCTACCAATTTATAAGAGAGACCATCATTTCATGCGACTTAACCTACTGCTGTTGAGATGTCTAAGATTCATGGCCACCCCATGTGTGTTAAAGTAGAATTGTGCTCTATAGGGGTTTAAATGTTGAGTTTTTGGAAGTAAATCACCAGATCTTTCTTCCCAGCCACTTCTGTGTGGACTCAAAACTCTAACCTTTTGGTCAGCAGCTGAGTCCATTAACTGTTGGCACTTCCCAGGGACTCCAGTGTGACCTTCTAGCAGTCCATGTAGTTTAAACAGGAAGTGATCTTGTCCACATAGGTCTCTGTAGTTTCCTTTCCCTCTTAATGCAAAAACTTCCATCAGCTCAAAGTCCCTGACTGTCTATTTCCTGACCTTCAACTCCAATCTAAGATATCGTCTGTGACTGTGATTTGAATCACAATCTTCCCCATTACACATATCTGTCATTATGAGTATGAACAGCTGCATCAATATATGGGAAGAAAGTAAAAAGATTTAATAAGGTCAAAAACACTATTCTATACTTGTCGCCACTCACTAAATATCAATAGCATCCATGCACAGTCCCATGATGGTGATTCTATTCCAACAGTGGAGGTAGATTACTAAAAATAAATAAATACCAAGCAGTGCATACAATCAAGTGAAAAATGAAATTTCTGATGACTGATAACTGTCCTAGACAGTATCTAGAAGAGTGGTCTTAAAATAAGCCAGTTGCTGTGGAGTCTAACCCTTGGTGCTCCCATGTATGTCAGGGTAGAAAGAACTGCTCTCCATAGAATTTTCAATGGCTGTGATCTTTTGGAAGTAGATTACCAGTTCGTTCTCCTGAACGAATGCCTCTAGATAAACTCAAACCTGTAACCTTTCAGTAAGAAGCCAAGAGTGTTAACCATTTGTACCACCCAGGTAAAATAACTCCTGGAATATTGTCTGCAAAACTATTCCTCATGCTTCTGTTGAATTTTGCCCCAGGGGTTCTTCATCTTGCTGTTTGGAACCATTATGGATCACAAGGTAATTTGAATTTGCTTCTTCATTGTAAATGAGTTTGGTGTGGCTGAGAGCAACAAGAGTGGGAAGCAAAGTTTAGGGGTAGGGGTGGCATTTGTAGGGGTGGGTTATGGCATCAGCAAAGAAGAGAAAAGAAGAAAGCTATCCTTTCTCATTTCTTACTCTTTAACAAGTCAATAAGAGGCTTTGTGTGAGTGTAACTGAAAAAAAACCTAAACCCACCACATTGTGTTGATTCTCATAGTAGAGCTGCCCCATAATGTTTCCAAGGCTATAAATCTTTATGGAAACAAGCAGCCTCATTTTTTTCCCACAGAGCTGCTGGTGAGTTTGAACCACTGACCTTTTGGTTAGCAGGCAAATGCTTTAACTACTGTGCCACCAGAGTTCCTTGAGTGTGAGTGTAGCTGGTGAAAAGATTAGAAACCATAACTACAATCTTAACCTTAATCCTACATTTAGTGATGACTACACATCAACTTTTACCCAAGTCTTTTTTGCCAGAGAGTGTGCTGATTAATTTACAAGCCATCTGATGTTGCCTCTGGCAGGGTTATTGGTCTCAGTGTTACAAATTATGGGTCAAGGCCTTGAAAATTTTGTTGTCCACTCTGACATCTCAGATGTTTTCTTACTGTCATTATTTCTTTAGATAAGAGATGCTTTGAGAATGAGCATGACTTCACTGAAGGGCAAACCAAAGGCAGCAGAGGTGAGCCTCCCCTTTTAATCTCATCACTGGAGGATTGGGCAAACTAATTCTGTAGTGATATCACCTTGGAAATCTCAGGAGGGTTCGCTATGAGTCAGATCCAACTCAATGGCAGTGAGCTTGGTTTTTGGTTTATTGGAGGATCAGTGTTCTTAGAGTTGTGCAGAGATGAATACTACAGCTTAGTGTTTAGGTGGTATCAACAAAGAGAATTTTTAGGGCATGCAAACATTCATTCATTTCTTTATTCACCAAATTTGAGGGCCTACTTAAAGTGAAAGTCAACAGAACATACCCTTTAAAAGTATTTTCCATATTGGCCATATTTCAACTTGACATCTGGAACACTGAGATGAGACAACATGAAACCAGGATCCTAGATTCATAAAATGTGACAACTGGGAAATGAGAGATAAGCTAAAAATAAAATTCTAGTCTAATTCACTCATTTTACAGATAAGGAAACCAAGGCCTAGAATACTTAAAAGATCTGTCTAATGTCACCCAGCTAATCAAGAAAAGAACAACACTTATGACAACTGGAATCAAAATCTCCCTCCATTTTCCTTGTTCAGAATTCTTCTCAGTAAATCACACTTCCTTGGATTGAAGTATACATGTACATGTACATCTTGAAGAAGAGTGTTGATCTGGTTATCTGTTTTTAAGGCACCTAGTAAAATTGCCAACATTCCTTTATTAATTAGAAGGAAGTTATTCAACTAGCAGATTTGCAATAAGTGCTACTTCTTTAAAAACAAGGAAACAAAGAGAAAATTTTCTGGACACATTGAGAATTAGCATTTATGGTTATCTAGTAGTGAGTGTGACTTTTAATAACATAGTTCATCAATTCTAAGATAGAAATTTTCTTTACCTTTCAACATCTCTGAACTGGAATATATCTCACAATCAGTGGCAAGTTATGGTTTAATTGGCAAGCTTCTTCCTTTTATTTCCTAGTGGAACATAAAAATAATGGTGCAGCTTGTAATGTTAAATTCAGTGAAATATGATGATTTAATTCTGTGTAGCTATGTCATTTTGGGAACTTCTTATGCCTTCATTTTTATAGGCATAAAAATAAATATATGTGTATTTTTGTCATTACTTCTTGTCACCATGTTATTTATTTATTTCCCCACTTAGAATCCATCATTAAGCCCAACCAATGGATCTAAACTAATGAATCATTGAGCAGAAGAAGTAAGTATTGAAAACTCAATGGAAGCTTCACTTGCAAGTTGTAACAAGCTACTCGATGTTCCTTGTAAGCAAACTATTGTCAGCTAGGTGATACTGGAGTGACTCACAAGGGAGCAGGTGTACATATCTTTCAGAGAATAGAAACTTCTTTATTGTTCAACACACAAATTAAAAAAAACTTCCTATCTTTTTTAAAACTATGTCATCCCAATTCACATGGCCAAAACTTAAGCATACTTTTATATTCTGCCTTCAGTGAGAGGATGCTGTCCTTGCACCTGCACTGATACACTATGCACCCTTGCTGTCCACAGCACTCACACACATTTATTCCATTTTGCCAGTGAGTAATGAAACTTATAATAGTGCCCTTGTCAAGAAGTAAGATTTGATTGATTGAAATCACAAAGCAATAGGCCTGTCTCTCCCTAGTTAAGTGGGGCCCAAGAGCTCTGGTGGTGTAGTGCCTAAGGCATTTGATTGCTAACCAGAAGGCTGGTAGTTCAAACCCACCAGCCACTCATCAGGAGGAAGGTTGGGCAACATACTTCCATAGTGGTGACACTACCTTGGAAACCCAAGGAGGGGTTGCTATGAGTCAGATCCGAATTGACGGCAATGAGTTTGGTTTTTTGGAAGATCATTCCTAAAGGCATGTGAGTGAAATTGTGGTAGATTAGCTGCTTACTCACAGCCAACCCTTTAGACATCATTCTAAGGAGCTCTGGTGATGCAGTGGATAAGTCATTTGGCTGCTAACCAGAAGGTCAGCAGTTCAAATCCACTAGCTGTTCTGCAGAAGGAAGATGGGGAAATCTACTGTAAAGATTTATAGCCTTGGAAACCCAATGAGTTGGATATGACTCATGAGAGAAAACAAATATGAGGCATCTGTGGGGAGAATACATCACAAATGGCAGTCAGTAACCAGAAAGCTGATGAGGAGAATATAGGAAGGGATGATCCACCCTGGTAATGGCTTTGTCTTGGAGAGGATCATATGGTGTACCAGTTCCTTGGAGTAATTGTTTCCATGCGTCTTTGGTTTTCTTCATTCTTCTTTGCTCTGAATGAGGAGAGACCCATCGTTGCATCTAGATGGCTTCTTGTAAGCTTTTAAGTTTCTACTCACCAAAGTAGGATATGGAACAATATTTTTGTGTAGTATATAATGCCAATTGAGCTCGATGTCCCCTGCGACTGTGGTCCCTAGCCCACAGGTTCAACTACTTGGTCCCTCTGGGTAGCTGGCTGTGGCCAAGAAATGACTACAACCTTGCCCCTTGTCAGCTTTACTGTATAACTGGCAATTCTTATGGAATATACAAATACACTTATAGAAACTGTCTGCCAACACTATACATGGTCATGAACATGCTCCCCCCTGCATAGACATACCTAATAGTTCAGCCTGTCCACTCATCTATTCACCTGTATATCAATGTTTGCCATCACTGACAACGCAGTACTGTATGTGCAAAAGGGTTCATCTTTGTTGCCTGTACCTCCCATGCACCTCTCTGTGTCTTTCTCTTCCTCATTGCCACTATGTTGATCACTCACATTTGGTCCATTGCCCTTCCCTTCACCCAAATCAATACTTGTCTCTACTTATCTAGCAGTGTTCTCTTCCCTCCCCTCCCACCCCTGGTAAATGACAAAGAGAATTTCCTTCCATATATAAGCTTTTTGCAAGGCGTAAATCTTTACAGAAGCAGACTGCCTCATCTTTCTTTCACGGAGAAGCTAGCAGGTTTGAACTGCTGACCTTTTGGTTAGCAGCTAAATGCCTTAACCACTGTTATCACCAGAGGTCCTAGAATATGAGTAAAACCGCCTCATATTACAAATCAAGAGTGTTCTTAGAAACAGGGTTAAGCCAGATCTGTAGAGAAGCAAGACTGTAGAGAGTGAAAACCAGGTAGTTTGCTTCAGGTATAGATGCTAATTGGGCAATCCCACTCTGGGGTGCAGGGGAGGAAGATGGCATCATTGTAAATAAGAGGTCAAAACTGCACAGTGCCTTCTGCTGTTTCTATATGAAGAGCTGGCCTTTAACATCAACCTGGCAGAGAATGTGTTCCTGAGGGTGGACAGGGTAATCAGGAAGGCTGTTCTTTGTTCCTCCAAAGTCTTTTCCCCATGCTTAAAAGTCACTTAACAGAAGATAGAGCTCTTTATTCCACGGTGAGAAATGAGACTGATGAAACAAATACCCTCCAGAGAAGCAACACAGTTTTCCATACAAAGTTAGAAATTAAGACCAGCAGAGTCGTTCCAAAGATTTGTCAACACTTGACTGCTAACCAGAAGGCTGGTGGTTCAAACCCACCAGCCACTCCTCGGAAGGAAGATGGGGCAATCTACTTCCGTAGTGATACTGCCTTGGAAACCCAAGGAAGGGTCGCTGGGAGTCGATGGCACATAACAAGAGCAACAATACACCTTATCGTTAAGAACACTGTTAGGTTTACAGAAAAAATTGTGCAGAAATACAGAGAATCTTCATTTATTTCCTAACCCAGGTTCTCGTATTATTAACATTTTACATTGTTGTTATTGGATGGTGTCAAATTGGCTCTGTCTCTGTCTCATAGCTATCCTGTGTGACAGAATAGTATTGCCCCATAGGGTTTTCTTGGCAGTAATCTTTACAGAAGCAGTTAGCCAGGTCTTTCTCCCATTTGATGGGTTCAAGCTTTGGGTTTGCAATTGAGTGATTAACCATTTACTCCACCAGGGATCCTTAATATCTTGTATTAGTGTGGTACAGTTGTTAGAATTGATGAATCAATATTGACATATTATTATTGACTAAAGTCCATCATTTACATTAGGGCTCACTCTTTGTGTTGCTCAGTTCTATGCATTTTGACAAAGCCTAATATCATATGTTGTTGTTGTTATTATGTGCTGTCGAGTCGGACCCAACTCATAGTGACCCTCCTTGGGTTTCTGAGGCAGTATCACTACGGAAGTAGATTCCCCCTCTTCCTTCCGAGGAGTGGCTGGTGGGTTTGAACTGCCAGCCTTCTGGTTAGCAGTCAAGTGCCTTAGGCACTACTCTACCAGAGCTCCCATAATATCATATATCTACCTGTTAGGGATTGAATTGTGTTCCCCAAAAATATATGTTATAAATCCTAACCCTATGTCTCTGTTAAGGAGCTGTGGTGGTGCATTGCTTAAAGCATCTGACTGCTAACCAGAAGGTTGGTGGTTCAAACCCACCAGCCACTCTGCAGAAGGAAGGAAGATAAGGCAATCTACTTCAGAAAAGATTTACCACCTCAGAAACCCAATGGGCCTTGCTATGAGTGGGAATCGACTTGGTAGGAGTGGGTTTTTGGTTTTATATTTTTATAATAATCCCATTTAGGAATAGGTTTTCTTTGTTATATTAATGAGTAAGGATTAATCTAGTGTGTATTTGAAATCAATCTCTTTGAGCTGTAAAAGAGATTAAACAAGCAAGTGAGAGAAGCAGAGATGGAGGAAGAGAGATCTCAAGCCACATGAAGATTGTCCAGGAGTAGAAAAGCTCAGAAGAGACCAGGACCTCCCCCATAAATGACACAGAGAGAAAGCATTCCCCGAGAGCTGGTACCCCAAATTCAGACTCTTAGTCTCCTAAACTGTGGAAGAATAACTTTCTTTTTGTTAAAGCCATCCACTGTGGTATTTCTTGTTGTACCATCACAGGATGAGGGAGGTTTCACTGACCTTACATCACCTATTCATCCCCACTCTTGAATTCATTCTCACTTCTCTTGACAGTCACTAATTTTTTTACTGTCTATAGTTTTGCCTTCTCTAGAATGTCATATAGTTGGAATCATACAATATGTAGCTTTTCACACTGGCTTCTTTCTCTTGGCAATATGCATTTAATTTTCTCCATGTCTTTTTGTAGCTTTATAGCTTTCTTTTTATCACTGAATAATCTTCTAGAGATTAAGTGTTTTTTTTGTTTGTTTGTTTTTTGTTTTTAACTTTTTATTGTGATTTGAGTGGAAATTTACAGAGCAAATTGGTTTTCTGTTCAACTGTTCATATCCATTTTGTTTC